CATCATTTACCACGAGTGGTCCCTTTACCCAAAGCTCAGGACAGCAGAAGAGTGAGCTTGGTTCAACGCATCTTGTCTGGAAAAGATGCAGTTGTCTCCACTCACCCTCTGACGCTCGAGTGAGCACCCCAGTTTTGCCGAGCTCCCCCATGGTCCCTTGGGACTTTATGTGCTCCATTCACACCAGCGGTGTTGAAGCCCAGGAATGTGGTGGTGGGAGCAAAGGCCCCTGGAGGGCTCATCCCTGTTGGAATCTGCCCCCCCAGGACCCATGGGGTTTTGGGTCAGATGTGGATCCTGAAGGAGGCCATGAGGTCCCTTGGCTTCGCTGAGAGCTTTGCTTGGGGAGAAGCACCGTGTTGATATAAAGTTGTGGCCCCGGGTTCCAGGTTCTTTCTCCAGGAAAGTCCAGAGCAGGCGCTGGGGACTCAGCAGAGCTTCTGCAAGCCCTGAGTCACAGAACTTTCAGGTCTTCTCAGGGTAATTAAACAGGACTTTAGGAAATGATGTTGCAGCTGCTTATAAACCAGAAAGAAAAAAGACTTTCAATAATGTTTGAAAGCACCCAAATCATACCTTTTCTTTTTATTACTAAATTGGTATGTAAAGAACAATGTAAACTTAGTCAAACTTTTTAGCTTGTGAATCACTATCTAAAATATCTTCAGCTAGTGTTGGGATGCTTATTTACTTATTTAAAATAAATAAAGGAATACATGTATGTGCTAAAATATTTCAGTGGTGCTAGTGGTGGCTTATGCCTATAATCTCAGGATTCTGGGAGGCTGAGGCAGGAAGACTGCAAGTTCCAGCCCAACCCAGGGATTTCAGTGAATTAGCAAGACTTGTTTCAAAAAATTTTTATGAAAGGCTGGGAATGTAGCTCAGTCCAAGGGCACTGGGTTCAATCCCCAATATCATTAACTAAGTAAATTTTAAAAATCAGTGGTATGGAAAGCCAGAAGTATTTCTCTTCAAATGTATCTTTCCATAAACATTTTTTATATATACTCAAGCTTTTTTGAGTATATAGATCTTTGCTGATTTAAACTTCAAAAGAAAACAGACAAAGCAGGCCATATTGAATGTGTCTTAGAGTGTCTCAGAATGTCTCAGTCCATTCAGGGCTGCTGTGACACAGTACCACAGATTGTGTGGCTTAAAAACAGTGGAACTGGGCCGGGGATTTAGCTCAGTGGTTTTGCCGCCTGTTGCGCAGGCTCAAAGACCCGAGTTCAGTCCCCGGGACCAAAAAAAGCCAAACCAAACCAAACCAGTGGAACTGTGTTTCTCATGGGTCGGGAACTGGGAGTCCTAGTTCAAGGGCCCAGCAGGTTTGTTCTCGGCTGAGGGTCTGCTCTCTGGCCTCTAGCAGGCTGACTCCCCTGTGTCTCGTTGGCAGAAGGGGTGAGCGGCTGTGAGGTCCTTTACAGCCCTTTGATGATGTAATCCCTTCCCAGATGCTGTCACATTGGCAATTAGCTTGCAGCACCTGAACTGAGGGGCTACCCAGACATTTCAGCCCACGGCACAGAATCTTTAAATTGAACAAGTAAGTAAATTCAGGAGTTTTCAAAGGAAGACCGGTGGGGGAAGAAAAGCCATCATGACCTGATTGTTTGAAAAGTGGAGGTCAATGTGACAGTCTTCAACTGGTCAGAGTTGAAAGCCACATAGTCCTGGCTGACTCCTTACCGCATGACCTCAAGCAGGGGACCGGCATGAAAATAACTTCTTGCTAGTACAAACTCAGTTCTGGGCTGGGGATTTAGCTCAGTAGTGCCGCTGCCTGCCTCGAAAACCTGAGTTCGATCCCTGGTACAAATAAACAAACAAATAAACAACTCAGTTCCTATCACCAGCACATATCTGAGGAGAGAGCAAGCAGAGCAGAGCCAGCTACGGATGATAAAGATGAATGACACTTTCTGAGCAGGAAGAGATGAGAAATGCCTACTTGGCGCCCCTTACTCTGAAGGGTCTAACGGAAGAGGAGCTGGCAGTGCCACTGGGATACAAACCTCGGTTTTGAGCCCCAGCTTAATGCCTCCTTCGGGGAGCAGCTGTCAGCCAGTGTAACACTTGGGTTCCAAGAGCTGGGGAGCCAGATGCAGGCTTCCTCTTGGCTTCTGCAGAGCTGTCCTGGAGGAAATTCGGGGCGAACCCTGATAAATATAGCGCTGGAGGTTCACAGCCCTGCAACAGAGTCCCCGGAAAAGTGACTCACCACCTTCAATCAAAAAGCAACTGTTAGAAACATTTCAGAGCAAAAAGTTATATAAAAATTGGGATAATTCCACTCAGGATGTTTCAGCTTTATAGTGGTGTGACAACAGTGTGCATTGAGTAGAATTCGTATTTTGAATTTGGAACTGGTCTTTCCTGGGGCCGGTGATGTGCATTGGGTCCTCTCTCATGCCGGGCAGTGGCTGCGTCACCTGGGGAGCCCCAGGTGGTGGTCGAGGGAGGAGGTGACCCAAATTCTGCAGTGCATGCTGGGCGGGCTGGAGCAGTCAGGAGGTGAGGTGAGCGAGGTCCGCTCACCATGGCTCGTTGCATTTCCACCGGAGCCCTGCCCTCCGTGCCCCAGACGCCGCCTCGGCCCACTGCCCTGAGGTTAAGCTATGTAAGAAGATGGTGGGACCCTCCTGGCTTCTTTATCTTTTTTAGATGCTGCACCTGTGGATTTGGATCAGGTATAATAAGATAGCTTGTTTGACATTAAAAGTGGAAAACTTCCTGTGTTTGTTTCCTGTTGCTGTGGTAGCAAATTACTGGGTATCTGATGTTTAAAAATGAAGTCATTATCTCCCAGTCCTGCAGGTCACAGGTTGAGATAGGATCAGGGAGTGGTCAGGGCTCAGGACAGTCTGCGTCCTTCCTCCACCCACTCCTGCAGGCTGTCCACGTTTCGTGGTGACGACTCCATCCCATCTCTGCCCCTTCCCCTGCTTGGCCTCTTTCTGGCCGCTGCCGCCCGGAAAGGCCCCCTTCTGAGGACTTGCGTGGTCACACTGGGATGCTGGGGCGTCCGGGACAATCTCCCCTTTCCAGGTCCTCGCGCTTGGTCCTCTGCAGAGTCCGTTTGTCATGGGAGCCTGCATCTGGGGAGCAGGATGTGGGCCCTTTTGGCGACCACTCCTCTGCCCGCTCCTTTCCATTAGCGTTAATAGTGACGAGGGGGTTCCAAGGTGGCCCCTGCTAAGGACCTGCTGACCACATCCATACCTGGTGCGGCCGTGGGGTTCAAGAGGGGCACCTGCCACTGTTCTGCGGGCTCAGGGCTCAGTCCCATCTCAGCCCATCACAGCTGAGAGCCCTGCCCCACTGAATGTTTCTTTTCAGCCCCCCCCCCCATCTGGGGATTGAACCCAGGGCCTTTGCAATGAGCAACATCTGCAGCCTTTTTTTTTTAGTTTTTTGTAGTACCAGGGATCAAACTCAGGACCTTGCGCTTGCCAGGCAGGTGCCGTGCCACTGAGCCAGATCCCTGGCCCCTAAAAATTTTTTTTAAGACCAGGCCTCACTAAGTCACTAAGTTGCCTAGACTGGGCTAGAACTTTCTTTCTTTTTGGTACCAGGGATCGAACTTGGGTCCTTGTGCTTGCGAGGCAGGCGGTGAAACCACTGAGCTGAATCCCTAGCCCTGGTCTAGAATTTTCAATCCTCCTGCCTCAGCCTCCCAGAGTGCTGGGATTATATAGGTGTGCACCACCTCACTTGGCTAGAATCTCAGATTCTTCATCTCCCACGAAGAGCTGGTCATTCTTGTCTCTGGGGAGTAAGCATGGCGACCCTGCAGTGCAGCCCGGCAGGACTTGGGGGCTTCGTACTGGTTCCTGCCTCGTACCCATCAAGGCCTCCGTCCTGTGCAGTGGGGTGAAGGGCAAGGGCTGGGGGACACCCGTGACCTCATCTCCCTTCTTCCCTCTCCCCCGTCCTTTCCTGCTGCTGTTTCCTTCCATTTCTGGACACCCAAGGGCCTGGGCACCTGCAGATGTCTTATTTTCTTCTTGGACTTCTAAGCTAGGCCAACGAGTTGCATAGTTGAAAAGCTAGGAGGTCTCAGGGACAAGTCCAGAGTTCCAGCTTTTCTGGAGAAACTGGATGCTGCGGCTACCCTGGGCCTGCTTTGTCCCTGCAGGGCAGCCTGCTCCTTGCATGTGTGTCATGGCTGGCGGTTGCTGCCGCTGTAGCGGGGTGGCTCCTCTGCCGCCATCCCCACCTGGCCCCCCTCACTCACGTGACCAGCCTGGGCCGCTTCTTGGAGTTTCCAATGCCCTGCCTCTGCCCTCAGTGGGATGGGCCTGGCTGAGGCCGGGGTCAGATCCCATTGAGCCACCGAGGAGATGAGTCGCGTGGGACGGGGCACTGGCCTGGACTCTGCCACTGCCATCCTCCCACCTGTTCCTTTAGCTTCTCTGAGCCTGTTTCCCCACCGGTGCAGGCTGAACTTCTCCACCTTGGCACTGCTGCCAGGGGCTGCATGGCTGGTGGGGGTGTCCCATGCACCGTGGCCATGGCCACTTGATGCCAGCAGCACCCTGTCCCAAATGGGACAGCTGTAGATGCCCTCAGTGATTGCTGCACATGCCCTGGGGGCCAGAGCTGCCCAGCAGAGCCCAGTGGGTGCATGTGAGCCTGAGGGAGAGCAGAAGCTGCAGTGCCCATGGTGCCCGCCCCTTCTTTCCCTGTGGGGTATGGGTTGGTGCCGAATCTTGCAGAGGTGGCTGGTGGCCCTGCAAGTCTGAGTCCTGTGGGTCTCGCTCTGCTGCACCTGTGGCCCAGTCTGCTCTGGGGTCTTCAGGAGGGGCAGCGCTGAGGGTGGCAGCCCCCCGACATGTACCCAGAGGCCAAGGCTCTGTGATGGCAGCACTGCAGCCCTTGGGCCCGAACCCTTGCTGGCCTTGGGACAGCGACTGCCTGCCCCTCACCCGTCTCTGCCCACTCACTTCTGCCTGGTGCACGGGTGTCTGACTGAGACCCTGCGTTCCTTCTAGGTGGCCCTGGTCCAGTGGACAGAGAGCGTGGGCCTCACCCTGGTGGGCCGAGACCAGTCTTCTGTGCAGCTGAGGACCCCTGGTGACCAGATCTTGAACTTCACCATCCTGCAGATCTTCCCTTTCACCTACGAAAGCAAGCGCATGGGCATCATCGTGCGGGTGAGTCTTCCAGCCGCCCGGACCTCAGCGAGCTGTGTGTGTCCCCTTGGTTTGCATCCTCCAGCTTTCTCGGGCAGCAGTGTCTGGCACCCCAGGAATTTAACCCAGTGCCTTCACACTGAGCTAACTCCTCAGGTCTTTTTTTGTTGTATTTTTAAAAATTTTGAGACAGGATTTTACTAAGTTGCTAAATTCCCCAGGCTGGGCTCAAATTTGTAACCTTCCTGCCTCAGCTTCCCCAAGCCACTAGGGTTCGGGAGTGTTACCATGCCTGGCAGAGGAAAAGTTCTAATGCATGTAGATTGGACATTTCTTGATAGTATATGTCTAAGTCTTTTTTGTTTAATTATGTGTGTTTTATTTTACTTTATTTTGGGGGGACATTCTTTGAGACAGGGTCTCGGTAGTCCATGCTGGCCTTGAATGCCCAGTAATCCTCCTGCCTCAGCCTCCTGAGTGCTGGGATTACAGGTGTGAACCATCACGGCTGGCTGTATTTCTTAAAAATTTTTTTCTTGTAGTGTTAGGGATTGAACCCAAGGCCTTGTGCATGCTAGGCAAGCTGTACTTCAGGCCCTGTGATTTTTATTGAGATGAAATTCACATAACATAACCATTTTAAAGTGAACTTTCAGTAGCATTTAGTCCTTCAATCCTATTATGCAGTCATCATTTCTGTCAAATTTCAAAGCATTTTTATCACTCCTAAAGAAAAGCCTGCCCCTGCCCGGTTCCTGTTAACTGTCAGCTTGTTTTCTGTTACAGCGGATTTGCCTCTTTGGGATGTTTAATGTAAATGGAATGGTGCATTGGTGACCTTTTGTTTCTGGCTTCTTCCCCTGGTCTGCTTTCCAGGTTCATCCGTATTGCAGTCCGTACGAGGGTTTCATTCTCTTCTTGGGCTGACTCGTGTTCTGTTGTGTGTGTACACAGGACCCAAAAAGTTTGAGTCTGAAGTGGATCGGTTTTCAGGAGTTCTTTTGAGTATGTTTGTATATATTTAATAGTGTACCTGGGAGGTGGACTCAAATGAAACACATGAAACGAAACTGATTTGTTTCCTGGGCCCCAGGCACAGCCTGAAGGTCATTTTATGCAGTGTGTTTTGGCACACCTTCTCGTGACTGTACCCTGTTGTGTGAGGAGTGGTGACATCGCGTTAGCACACTGACAGTTTTGGGTGTTGGAGCATTTCGGAATTTGCATGTTTGGATTTGGGATGCTCAGCCTGGATGTGTGTTGCATATTCGTTCCTTCATTAACAGACATTTAAGTTGTTTCTTCCTGTTCCCCGTTGCGAATGGCACTGTGGGGTAATGGAGTGCAAGTCCGGGTTGTTCTGAGCGCATGTTCCGAGCAGGGCCATACCGTCGTGCTGCTGCTCAGTTACCAGTTGCTGGCCAATTCTCTGTCCTGATGAAGGATCTCCAAATTATTTCCTTTTAAAAAATTTATTATTATTATTATTATTATTATTATTAGAAATGGTAGTAGTAGTAGTAATACTAATTATATTATTATTTTGCCATACTGGGGATTAAACCCAGGGCCTTTCCATTGAGCTGCATCCCCAACCCTGTTTTATTTCTCACTAAGTTACTAAGTTCTCCAGGCTGGACTCAAAAATAGCAATCCTCCTGCCTCAGCCTCCCAGAGTGCTGATATTACAGACATGTGCCACCATCCCCAGCTGCTAAACTGTTTCCTGCACTGCTGCATCATTTTACATTTCCATCAGTGGTGTTTGCACTTTCTTCAGATTCTTGTAAATGCTTGTTAATTTTTTTCTTTTTAAATAAATTATGACCCTTAAAGTGATATTTTAGCATGGTTTTGATTTGCATTTTCCAAATGACTGTGTTGAGCATCTTTTCATGTCTGTGGCTATTTATTCCTCCCTCCCTCCCTATCTCTCTCCCTCCCACCATGCCGGGAAAAAAGGATAATTAATAAAAAGCAACCCACAGCTTTTTCTAGCCCTCCTAAACTTTCCACAGTCTTCTTAGTCATTTACTTGGTGACACTAGTGCCGGGGACAGCTGTGGAAGTGAAGTAGGCTAGACGGCCCTCCTGCAGGGGTTGTTACAGGAGCAGGACTGACCGCGAGGGACTGAGGCAACAGCCACGTGGGACTCTTCGTGTGCAGGCGGCTAAGTGATTGGCACAGACTAACTTACCTCTCACCATAACCCAGCCCCGCAGGCACCACTTCTGTTGACATTTGTGGCTGAGAAACCTACCCAAGTTCACCAGCTGGACATGGTGGCGCAGGGATTGGCCCCTGGCTGTGTGGCTCCCAGTTTGCTCTGCTTCTACAGGCCCTGGGGTTGGAGTGTGAGGGGAGCACTAGAAGAGCTCACAGGGCACCTGTGGTCATGTGGGGCTGGTGTGAAATTTCGCACTGCTGTGTAATCTGTAGAGGCTGAAAAGAAGAATATTTTAATCCTCTGACAGGTTCTGTGGCTGGGAGTCTGACTGCAGCTCTGACTTAGGGTCAGGGTCTGTCACAGGCTGGGCCCAAGGGGCTGGCCAGGCTGCTGTCCTCTCAGAACCTGCTGGGGCAGGGTCCGTTTCTTGGTGGCATCAGCATTGCTGGGGTTTGGTTGTTGTTGGCTGAGGGGTTAGTTCTCCTGGGCTGCTGGGTATCGCCCTGGGGGCCCCTCCCTGGCACCCTTTTCCCCCTTCCTCAGGGAAGAACGTGAGTTTTGTAACCCAGAGGGGTGGCTGACAAAGCGGGAGAACACCAGGAAGTGGGGACCCTCAGGTGCTGGTTTCTCAGAGACCTCCCCAGGGAGCAGAGCAGTGGCCACCTGATGTGCACTTGCAGGGATTCTTACGCTCCAGGGGCCAGGAGGCACTTTCAGGCGCTGTGGGATGTATCCCAGCGGGGAGGGAGCTTTTCCTCCGGAGCAGCTGCAGCTTTTCTCACTGGGCCACCCAGTTCCTGAGCTCTATCTGGAGCACACATCTGAGGCCAGGGTCATCCAGCGGCACAACTCCTGTGGGTGGGGCCTTCCCGGACAGTGAGAGTCAGCGTATCCTACAGAAGGACCCGAGCTCTGTTCCAGCCCTTGTTCTCTCAAGTTCGGGGCCCGTGGGTTCTGCTGAGAACATCTGAGGATTGAATCATCATCATCGGTCTCCAGCACCCGCCTCCCAGGATGAGTGAGCTGTCCACACCCCCGCATCAGGGTGGAGAGGACCCTCCTGCCTTAGGAGGGTTGGCCGTTTCTCTTCCCATGCAGGGGTGGGGCCCCAGCTGGAGGCAGGATCCTATTGGATGCATGACTTCATTGTTTTTTTTTTTTTTTGGTACCGGGGATTGAACTCAGGACCTTGCGCTTGGGAGGCAGGCGCCAGAACCACTGAGCCAAATCCCCAGCCCAACTTCACTTTTTCTTAAAAATACCACCTCCCCTTCCCAGGATTGATTGATTGATTGATTGAGGCTGGGTTATTTATTTATTTATTTAGAGACAGAGTCTCACTACACGGTTCAGGCTGACTTTGAACTCACTATGTAGTCCAGGCTGGCCTCGAACTCGAGGTGATCCTTCTATCTCAGCCTCCCAAGTGCTAGGATTACAGGTTAGTGCCATTGTATCCAGCCCCAATTATTTTAAAAATCAACACATAAAGTGTTTAGAACAATATGTGAAGAAGGGAATCAGAACTTCTCATCCCCATTTTTGCCACCCTAAGATAAGTATTTTACTTTGTCAAGGGACTTTCTTTCAGTCTTTCTTTCTAAGCACATAGCTGTGTAATTATCTATACACATTCTTATAAAAGTGGCTTTGAACTTCATGTAAGACTTTCTAAGCATTCCCTCCCCCATTGAGGTGTGCGTGTGTATGTATGTATGAAATTTTCTCTTACAATTAAAATAGGATTTTAATGTGTGCAGGGTGTTTTGTTGAAAAAAAATGTATTGTTTCTACTGTTTCATTCACCTTTTTTTTTGATGCTCGGGTTTGTCCCTCCCCACACCCGCAGCCTGACACATGCTAGGCAAGTGCTCCACCATGAAGTTATATCCCCATCCCTTTTTATTTATTTTTTTATTTAATTAATTTTTTTGGTACCAGGAATCAAACTCGAGTCCTTGTGCTTGCACAGCAGGTGGCGACCTTTTTATTTTTTGACACAAGGTCTTGGTAAATTGCTCATACTGGCCTCCAACTTATGATTCTCCTGCCTCAGCCTCCTGAATAGCTGGGATTACAGGCATGTGCCACCACTCCTGGCTTCTTGTTTTTGACTACTAAATAAAAATTGCCATGAACATCCATCTTTATAGGCGATCTTTAATGAAACACTGATTATTTTGCTACATTTTCGCATTTCCATATGTATGTCTTTATTCTTGTTTTGGGTGGGTAGAAATCAGTTCTGGGGCTTTGGGATTAGTTCTACTTTGCACAAATCTCACTACATTCCCTGGCAAGTGAGTCTCATCCTGGGGGAGTTTGACAGTGTCTGGAGACATTTGTGGTTGTCCCAACCCCAGGTGGGGGTGCTACTGCTATCCAGTGGGCCATGCTTCTGCCCAAGGGTTCAGACCCCATGACAAGGAGTGGTCTGGCCCCGTATGTTCCGTGTGCCGAGGCCGAGGTACCTGTGCTAAGGGGGTTGCAGAGAACGCCTGTTGTATGCAAAAGACTGTCCCATTCCCTCCTGTGGGGAGGTTCTGGTTCAGTTGTAAGCCTTCTCTTGACTAGTTTTGCAACTGTCGACAGTTACAGTTCTGCTGTCTCCAGCATTTTCAACAGGTGTCAGCTCATGCAAAATACCTGTCAGCATCTTCCAGCAGCTACAACTTGAGGACTTCACAGGAGTCCTTGTCTCATATCCTGAGCAATCAGGTGAGGTTAGGGAGGCAGTTTCCCTGGACTTGTGTGCTTGTCCTTCTGAAGGAAGATCATGTAGCCTGCTGGATGTCTGGTGTGCAAGAACAAGATGTTCTGCCCTGCCTGGCTTTGCTCCCAGAGATCAGAGCATTGTCACTGCATAAACAAGGCCTCTGAGCTGGTGCCAGACTCAGACCACAGTGGGACAAGATGAGGCGCCACGGCCTGCAGCACAGTGAGCCAATCTCTGCAAATTTGTAGCATCGTCTCGCCATAATATGGGAATGGAGTAAACTTCGGATGAACTGCAGGGTGGGGGGGAAGAGGTGACTCATGGGAGGAGATGGTTGATCCAGTGTTTATATTGGACAGAGTCTCAGCTTGCTGGAGCCCCTTCGGTGGTAGAGGAAGCTGGGTGGGGAGGCGTTTCCTGTGCCCGTGTTATTGAGCATCATTTGGGTGAAAGGGAAAGGGAAAAAAAAGTCTCCAATGCTTTCATGGTCAGACCCTGCTGTCTTTAGCCTGAGTCACAAGCAGCATAGAGGCCCTTCTTCAAGGCCCAAGTGTGCAGCTGAGCTTTAGAAATGCAGGTGCCTCCTTTGTTCCTGGCTTGGGGGTGTTTTCATGAGTCAGTGTGTCCTCCTGAAAGACTCTCCATGGTTAGAGGCCATTTGAAAGTTACTGCTGTGCCATTTGGGGTCAAAGTATTCATCGCAGACTTTGTGTTTGTTTCGGGCTTTTCCAAGTAGCACAATGTAGGCACACGGTATTGACGGTGCTGACCAGGCTCCTCGCCTGTCTAGCCTCCTGCCTCATTTGTGTCTGAAATCTTCGAGGATGGAGTGGGATGAGAAGGGGCCATCTACCCACATTCCTCCAAGCCAGATTTCCCAGCCATGGCACCGTTGCTGTGTGGCTGGGTGAATCCTTGGCTTTGGAGCCATCCTGGGCACTGTAGGGTGCTGGTAGCACCCCTGACCTCTCTCTACCACGTGCCTATAGTTCACCCTCAGACTTGCCAGAGATGTCTCCAGATGTTGTCACATGTGCCCTGGACGCAGCTTGCCCCATTGACCATACTGAGTGGAGCCTTGTTCTCCATAATACAATGTGACCAAGGGAGGGAGCTCCTCACACTCAGCCAGTCAGGTGGAGGAGCACTTTCGGAGGACGCCATGTTTTCTGGGCCACGGGAGGGATTCCTAGCATTTGTGTTTGCCCAGGTGCGCCCCAGGACTGGCATTACCAGAGACCCTGGGTTGGGGAATTGAAAGGTCTGGTTAATTTGATCTCTAGGTAAGTCCTCCAGCATGAGGGCCTGGAATTATCTAGGCCACTGGTTCTCAGTCGCTCACTTCTGTGCGGACACATTTTTGGTTGTCACGGGGAGGTCATGGGGAGAGGCAGGGGGTGCTGCTCTGCACCCTGAAATGCCCAGGACACCCGCCCGCAGAGAAGCACACTGGCCCAGGCGCGCTCCCTGGAGAGGCTGAGAAATGCTAGTCTGGATACTGTCTTCCCGGCTGTGGAGCACAGTTTGGTGATGCTGGAAGTCCTATGTATAAATTTAACATAATCTGCCAGTGTGGGTGTCCTTTCCATTTGGAAAAGTGATGACTTTAAAAACAAATATCTTAACTCTTTTTGATCTTGCTTTTATCATCAAATAACTTTCCAGATGCTTTTGAGTTTTCTTCTGCTTTCCATGGTCTTTGCCCCAAAGTGAGGCCCATTCTTACTTTTCATCTTTGGCCAAGTGAAAACATCGGTGTCTGCTGGGTACACTGTGCGCCCCTTCCGTCACAGGAAGCGGGTGAGAGGCAGAGGGAGGGGCTCCTTGCGGTTGTTCATTCCTTCCCGCTCCCTCCCTAGGACGAATCCACTGGAGAAATCACATTTTACATGAAGGGGGCTGATGTCGTCATGGCTGGCATTGTGCAGTACAACGACTGGCTGGAGGAGGAGGTAAGCAGGTAGCAGGATGTGAAACCTGACTTCCGAAGCAGCTGAGCCCTCGTGGTGCAGTAGGCTGGTCTCTGTCATCATCGTCTGTGGCTGTACAACCAACCGCCCGAGACTCAGCTGCTTAAAACAGTGCACATGTACTTCTCCGGGCCTCTGAGTGAGACCAGCACCGCCTCTGCTTAGGGCTTCCTGCAGGTTGCTGCTTCTCTGAAGACCCAGCTGGGCAGGGTCCGTCCCAAGGTTGCTTGGTGCCCATGGCTGAGGCCCCAGATCCTTGCCACATTCTCCCTTACTGTGTGGGCCTCTCCATGGGGCAGCTCATGGCCTTGCAGCTGGCTTCACGGGGGTCCAAGTGAGGGAGCCAGGTGGCAGACTGGGCGTCGCCCTCTTTGGTAACCTGATCCCCGACACAACACCCCCTTGCTCCTGCGCCCTGCTGCTTGGTAGGAGCAGCTTACAAGGTCCCTCTCGCACCTGAGGGGCAGGTGGTTGTACACAGCCATGAATCCAGGAACTGGGGATCCCTAGAAGCCACAGATCCCAGTGTGTGACATGGGCAGTTGGCACTGGCCAGCAGCAGGAGGGAGCACTCAGGTTTGTCAGTGACATTATAGTTCCGACAGGAGGGTCACAAACCAAACCCCTGTGGGGCTAGGCAGGTGACACAGACAAATCACACAGGCCCGGGTGTGTTCTGGCTGGTTGCACTTTGCTTGTTAAACTGTTAGAATGTTCTTCCTTTGAAACCTGCGTGTTTGGGGAACATACGGGAGCAGCCCCTTTTCAGCCATCACAAAGTATGGTTGTCTGGGAAATGAGCCTGGTTTCACCAGATGCTCCATTTTCCCACCGAGCCTGCAATCCGTGCTTGTGTGTGAAATCCTGCAATGTTGATCTCAATGTTGAAACGTGCCATGCCAGTCTAAGACAGCAGACACTTGACCGGGAACTGTGGCTTTCCGGGAAAGCAGCTTTCCGGCTTGCTCTCTTCCCTGTCCCCTTGGAAGGGACACGTGCGCTGCTGCACAGCGGTCAGGGGCTCAGGGTCAGACCCTCCATGCAGCTCCCTGCTGACCCCGTCTGCTTCACAGTGTGGCAACATGGCCCGGGAAGGGCTGCGGGTGCTCGTGGTGGCCAAGAAGTCCCTGGCGGAAGAGCAGTACCAAGACTTTGAGGTGAGCTGCCGAGACCTGTGTGCACCTTGCAGCCCTGCACCTCCCCAGCATCTCCTGCTGCCGCTTCCCTGCCCGCCTGTCCTTCGCTAGCCGACCCCACCTCTGACCCAGAACTCTGCTTCCCTGCCGTTCTCCACCTGGAACTCTTGCCCTGTGGAGCTCCACGGCCCACTCCCTTGTTTGTTGCTTTTGGGTCTCAGCTCCAGTGCTGCCACCTCCAAGAAGTCTTCCTAGAGCACCCTTCTGAGGCAGTCTCCCCCTGTCACTCTCCATCGGTCACTGCATTTACCTTCCTTCATCACACCTGTCACTCTTTTTAATGCCCTTGTTCAGGTTTTTTAAACATTCATCTCATGCATCTTCTCTCTGGAATAAAATATTTCTAAGGGCAAGGATTTTGGCACTCCGGTTTGCATCTGTGTCCCCAGGGCCTGATTGGGAAAGTCCTTGGCATGTGGTAGCCTTCTGGAAAATGTGGATAAACCACCTAATTAATCTTTAAGTTTTAGAAAAATTGCTGGCGTTGGATTGGCTCTCACTCCCCGATTGCTCATTTGTCCCGTAGATTGCATGTCCCAAGGGAAGGTCCGTGTCTTGCTTACTGCCCTGCCCGTGGCCCCCGGCACAAGGCAGGGATCTCCGAGTGTGGAGGGAGGTCTGGGGGACAGGACAGGCTTCCAGGGCCCTCGGGTCTGCTCTTGGGTCCTGTCCCTGGGATGTGTTTTATGTCTCTGTAAGCCTTTTATTTAACAGAATTCTCTCCGTATGTAAAGGCTGCCTGCATTTCAGTTAAAAGTGTTGTCTACTACAGACACGCAATGTAGACATTTTCCCCAGGTTTCGCTGACACAGTCGAGTGAGCAGGCAAAACCAGGGAGTTGGGTTGGGGGTCTGTCAACTCCATGTCTGGACAGATGAGCCCAGGAGGAAGCCGGAAGCCTGTGTGACCCTGTGGGCCCAGGTCTCCTGCTGGGGTGTGGTGGGGTCCAGGTGGCCGCGGGTTCCTCCCTCCAAGTGGTGACGTTTCACTGTGTGCCCCAGGCCCGCTATGTCCAAGCCAAGCTGAGCGTGCACGACCGCTCCCTCAAAGTGGCCACGGTGATCGAGAGCCTGGAGATGGAAATGGAGCTGCTGTGCCTGACAGGCGTGGAGGACCAGCTCCAAGCTGACGTGCGGCCCACGCTGGAGACCCTGAGGAACGCGGGCATCAAGGTAGCTGCCACCGGCACCGCGAGGGCAGAGCCATGATCCCGCTGGGGTGGGCAGAGGGCAAGAGGGGACTCGAGCGCCCTCTGTAGGATGGGCGGCCGCTGTCATCTCATCCTCACAGCCCCGATTTCAGAAGACATCTTGGGTGCTGCTTGCTTTTTCTGGCCACCTCTCCAGTCCCGTGGGCTCCCTGGAGGCCAGGGCCGTGTGCACCTACCTCCTGGTCACTCCGGGTCCAGCTCAGGGTTCAGCATGCACAGGCCGTGTATGTTCCAGGTGAGCGACCGGCCAGCTCCTGTGTGGGCTGGCTGAGCTGAGTACCTGAGTGACCACCCACAGAGGGCTCTGGTGCTAAGCAATGGTTCCCTTCACATCTCTCACCACTCTTTGGAGCCAACCACAAAGCCAAGTACCGAAGTTCACTCTGCAGGGGCCGGTAGAGGGCGTCTGAGGACCGGGCTCTGGGCGGCCCAGGGAGCCCCAGAGAAAGCCAGTCACGGGTCCTTGGGACTTGCATCCCAGGTTGCACCCTGAGGCAGACGTGGAGCACACCTGCACGACCCCGGTGGCAGAGGCCTCAGCGCTGCAGCCAGGACTTGTAAACACGAGCTGCTGCTGACACAGCACAGGCGACTGCTTCACACTCAGCTTTTATATGTAGAAACACATTCTAAAGTAGTCATCAGAAGCATGGTTGACGACAGCACATACATGAGCAGTGACATAATCATTTGTTACCATGATCAAGTATCACATACTGTATGTATGTAATTGCACGTGCTATACTTTTAGTGTTCCTTTCCTTTTTTGTTTTGGTTTGTTTGTTTTTAATCTGTGGTGGGGCTGGAACCCAGGGTACTGTGAATGCCCAGCAAGTGCCCTGCCCCTGAGCCACACCCTGTGCCAAATGTCAGATGACTGGCCACGCAGTAGGTTTACGAAGTGTCAGCTCACGTATGTGATGGCTCCGATGTCACCTGGCAGTGGGAACTCTGAAGCTCCGTTGTCGTCTCGGGCTTTCTGTGGTGTGTGCTGTGTGTTGCTGGCTAAATTGTTGTTACATAGCTCATGGCTCATTAGCCAACTTGCAGGGTGGCAGCTTCTAAAGATGAGTGTACGTGGCCACCTGTTTCCACTCACAGGCACCTCTGGGCTGTGTCCTGGGCTGTGTTTGGCAAAGGACCCTGCCTAAAGCAGGGCAACGTGGGGAGTCTGGATTAGACTCGAAGTAATATGTAGACTCTGCAGCCTCAGGCCCACGGGGAGGGGTGTGTGTGTGCGTGCACGTGTGCTCCCAAGCCAGCTCCTGCTGTGGCCCACTGGCTCACAGGGCTGCTTTGTCTCAAGGACGCTGCCAGCAGGGCCCCCTTTGGGGAGCTCTGGTGGCATGAGGCCTGTTTCTTCCGGGGCCTCTCTTCTCCTCTCTGGCTTCGGAGATTCCGCTTCCCATGCCTGGCATCATCCTGGGGGTTCCCCCCTCAGCACTGTCTTGTCACCAGGCAAGGTGCTTTGGCGACAGAGTATGGATGTCACTTCCTGCATCTGGGTCCCCTACTAGATGGGGTGGGGAGGAGCAGGTGGCTGCAACAGATCCACTTGTGGCCAATGTCCAAGATATAACCATCCCTCTGGAGGCCCAGAAGATGCTAGATCTTGGCGTTTTCTGCTCTGCTCTTTGACACATGCAGAAGCAGTGGCCGCGTGTGGCGGCTGCTCTCCTAGGCTCTTGCCTGGGAGGTGGCGCTGGGGTCCTGGGCACGTCACCTGGTGCCTGTCACCCCAGTGAGGAACGTGAGTTACAGGGTGCACTTAGTAGTTCTGCTCATAGCGTCCCTGAATGTGAGCCCCCAGCCCCTTCCCTGTGTTGTCTTCTTAGGGCAGAGCCTGGAAGCTTTGAGGAAGGTGGTTTGGGATTGGCGGGAAAACAGTGACACGCACCAAGGGCACAGTAGGTGAGAGGGCACCAGGCTCAGACCAGCAGGGCCTGGCCACCTTCCGGTGCCTCACGGCTGGGGTTTCACTGCTTTCCACCAATTTCTGTGGCTCTTGGCAGGTGACGCAACTCCTCCATGCCTTGTGTCCCACTCACGAAGGTCACTTGGAGGTGAAATGCGTTAAGCAGGGGCAGCAGGACCGGGCGTCCCGCATGTGGTGAACACTCCAGAAACGTGTTGTTTTCTTTCCTGTGCCCTCCCACTATCCAGACTCCAAGACTCCTCCCTGCCAGGAGCAAAGAGAACAAAGGGTTAATGAGCTGCCATAGCTGGACCTGGGTAGGACAACAGCTTGCTGTGTGACTTTGGGCATGTCAGCTGCGCTCTCTGGGCCCACAGCAGTGAGATGCAGAATGATCTGACCCAAGAGATGGAAGCACCTAGTACCTAGCACCTTTGATGTCAGCGTTTTAGAGGCAGAGTTGTCCTGAGAATCTGACCACATAGAGAGACTGGAAGGCCACGTATTAACATTGCCCATGGGACACAGAAGTGACCACTCAATCCATGCAGCCTCTCTTCTCTTACAGTATTCATTGCTTTAAGAAGAGTTCTCAGAAGGGGGATTGCAAGGTCCTGGGACTGAGCTTCCTCCTGTCTCCTGAAGCATGTGGTCCGGTGGCTCTTTGTAAAGTGTCCCATCAGCTTTTTTTGTTTTGTTTTGTTTGGTACTGGGGATTGAACTCGGGTCCTTGTGCTTGCTCAGCAGGGGGTGAAACCACTGAGCTACATCCCCGGCCCTCCCATCAGCTTTTGATGGCCCTAGCAGTGGTTGCTCACGGTCCCCATGGCTTTTCCCTGGGGCCTTCTCATGTACTCAGGGGCACTGTGAGTCTCGAGAAGGTGAACAGGAAGAGTAAGTGCAGCTTGGTGTTCTGGCACTTAGCCATTGCAGGTGACAGGCTGGTGCCTCTCTCGTGCCACATTTCAGGTCTGGATGCTGACGGGAGACAAGCTGGAGACAGCCACGTGCACGGCCAAGAATGCACATCTGGTGACCAGAAACCAGGACATCCACGTATTCCGGCTGGTAAAGCATTCTGTGTCAGGGCCACATGGGAGTGATGAGTGGGCCCCTAGAGGGCGGAGCACGCTGGCCACCAGGGTGGGGGAGCTGAAGCCAGGTGGTTGGCACAGGGTACTTAGTGCCCGGTGCAGGTGCAGGAGGCCTCTGGTGGCTCAGCAGCTCCTCATTCCAGCCCTGGACGCACACTGTGCTCTACCCTTCTGGGGCCATGGTCCGCTCTGAGGCGCTGATAAAATGTAAGCCTCCCCCGCCCCCCCATGCAGTTCAGCTCATACGCAGGCATTGTGTGTGCTTCCTGAGGTTTCACAGACCTTTCAAAGGCCAGGTGCTCAGATAAGATGGAAGTGCTGGGCTCCAGATTGTCGCTGGCTGTCCTCTGTGGGGGCCACTGAGGGGCATTTGAAGGAGGTTTCAGATCAGATGGGCCAACAAGAAACCTGCCCTGCGACTGTGCTTGGCCCGAGCAGCGCCTGCACCAGGAGCTGCTTCCTCCAGGGAGGCCTGCCCCTGGCTGTGTTGCGTTAGACAGGAGAGGGGATGCTGCCCCCTTTGGGCAGGATGTATTACCCCACTTACCTGAAAGCACAGCCACGAGGGAGAGGTTCCAGATGTTTCCTGGCAAGTTGGAATAGGAGATGTCTCTGCCTTTAGTCCGTAGTACAGAGGAACCTCAAGCAATCCATGTTTGGAATAACAGGTTGTATGAAACAGATACGGTTCATTCTCCTCATTTGTGGATTTGTGACTTCTCCTATTCACTGAAATTTGTGACCCCCAAATACTTGCAACATGTTCACAGTCACTTGTACACGTATTAGGTGTGATCAAAATATATAGTGAATGTTTAAAAATTTTTATTACAATAAAAGACACATCACCATTAACTCTGCTCAAATACACCCGCTCGCTTTGGACTCACTTATTCCACCCTTCTTTCTACTTTCTGACGCAGTTCTGGAAGTCCTCTTTTGTGAGTGTCTTTATCAAGTGTGATAAGAAATGTGGTGGACGTTGCTGCCGAGTGCTGTCCAGTGGACAGGCGCGCTCGTAAAGCTGTTCAGCTCATCTGCCTTATTCTTACCTGTTGGGCCTGGCACCATGTGACCTCTGGCTCTTCCCCCAAGTCAAAATGGCGATAAAAGGTAAACATTTTGACTCAATTGAGGACATCAAGGCATCGTGACAATGCAACTAAAGACACTCACGAAAGAGGACTTCCAGAACCGCTTCAGAAAGTGGCAAGAATGCAGGGATGAATGTGTTTGAAGGGAAGGGCAGTAGTTTTTTTTTTGTTTTTTTTTTTGGTACCAAGGATTGAACTCAGGACCTTGCTCTTGCAAGGCAGGCACCAGAACCACGGAGCTAAATCCCTGGCCCGAAAGGGGAGTATTTTGATGGGGATTAAAGGCAGTATGTTTTTTACTGAAATAATTTTTAATAGTTAATGATATCTTCTGATCATACACGGAGTTTAAAAAAATTTTAGTTGCTCAACATGCACCTCCCAAGCACTCAGACTGTAAGACAGTGGCCTTTTCGTAGTCCATATAAGTGTTGGGTGTTTTGCCTTTTTGTGGTTTTCATTAGCAGATTGCTATTCACAGTGGCTCTCAGCACAGGGCTGTGGAGCCGGCTAGCGCTCCCAAGTGCACAGCCAGGAGTGTCTGACAGGAAATGTGGTGTTCTGTGAGCCTCCTTCAGGCTGGAGTCACTGGGCTGTTGGCCGTTAGTCAAGGACTTCATGTTAGCTTTTTGTCACTGCAATGAAATGCCTTAGGAAAACAACTTTGATGAGGAAAGATTAATTTCGGCTCATGGTTTCAGAGGTTTCAGTCCATGGCCACTTGGCTCTTGTTTCTAGGCCTCCCGGGAGGCAGAAACATCTTGGTGGAAGGAGCCTATGGCATAGATGGCTGCTCACTTCCCAGCAGCTAGATGCAGAGAGGGACAAAGCGGTTGGGATAAGCTTTACCCTTCCAGTGAACTGCTTCCCCCGGACTGGCTCACATCCTAACGACCTCCTCAGCTCTGAACTCGTAAATGGCATAACCCATTTATGAAACTTGTGCCTCCTTGATCCAGTCACTTCCCCACAGCCTGCCAGGAAGCGAAAGGTGAGCAGTCATCACAGTGAACCTTTCAGGGACATTTTTGATATGTATTGATGAGAATAATTGTGAGCAGAAGCTTGCAGGAACCTAGCCCTCTGTTTCCCCTAGAGGCCGCAGTTCAGTATTTGCTAATTCGGTATTCCCAGTGACTTTAGAGAGCTTAGTCATCACCAGTAACAGTGTGTTCTGTCATTCGTGGGTTGTAAACTATGGCTCCTGGGCCAGCCACCTCTTTTGTGGATGACAGGTGTTTTATCAGAATGCAGTCATGCAGCCAGTTCACATGTTGTCCACAGCTCCTTTTGCACTATACCGACAGAGCTGGGTATGGTTCACACAGCCTGCAACTCCCCAGCCCACAGTCTTCCTGGTGCCCAGACACCCAACTCCACTTACCTGCTCTGCATTGTACTCCTGTGCTGCTTTAGGCAGGCTAACACCCTCACCATGCCTCAGTTTCCCGAAGCGTAAGATGGGGCTGTGATTGTGCATCTGTAGAGTCACTAGGAGAGTAAATGTGAGAAGTCCACCGGAAGTCTGTGTGCAGGGCTGGCACACCATGGAAGCACATGCAGTTTCGGTCCCAGGATTGAAAGGTGATGGTTGGTACACAGGCTCTCGGACTCCCACAGTCTTGGCCACAGGATTTCATCTGGCTCTGGCCCGATGGCGTAGAGGGGAGAGTCCTGGCTAGAGTGACTTTCTTTCCTCCAGCCCCAGGAAGCTGCTCTTTATTGTTTTGTCATCTCCAGAGAGCGAGGCTTGCACATTTCTGTTCCCTTCCAGGTGACTAACCGCGGCGAGGCCCACCTTGAGCTGAACGCCTTCCGCAGGAAGCATGACTGCGCCCTGGTCATCTCTGGGGACTCCCTGGAGGTGGGTGCAGGGACCCTGCAGCAGGGGCCTCCCGGGAGCCAGCACCTCTCCCTGCTGCGGGTGTAGGAGCCTCAGGGCTGGGAGGTGACCTTGGCCGACCTCTGTGTGTCTGTACATCCTCCCAGGTGTGCCTCAAATACTACGAGTATGAGTTCATGGAGCTGGCCTGCCAGTGCCCAGCCGTGGTCTGCTGCCGCTGCGCCCCCACCCAGAAGGCCCAGATAGTGCGCCTACTCCAAGAACGTACCGGAAAGCTCACCTGTGCAGTAGGTAGGCAGCTGCCTGGGGCCCTTGTCCTGCTCCTATGTTGAATTTATTTTTCATAAAAATAATTGGGTCCACTGATATATTATTCATATTTCCCCAGGCCACTTTATTCTTTTTGTTGTTATTATTTGCAGTGCTGGGGACTGAGCCCAGGGGCATTCTGCCACTGAGCTACATTCCCAGCTCAGCCTTTTTATTTTGAGACAGGGTTTTGCTGAGCTGCCCAACCTGGCCTGGAACTTGCAATCCTCCTGCCTCAGCCATCTGAGTAGCTGGAATTAGGGATTACAAGCATGTGCTACCTTGCACCGCTGTTATTATTATTCTTATATTTCCTTTTGAGAAAGAGAGTAAACGGGTCCGAGGGCCTCTTCTGCTTTGCTGGTGGCCTGGGATTGAGGCATTCCAGAGGGTGGAAACCATACTCTGCAGGGTCAGATTGGGCTTGAATCTCTCTGCTAGCTTTTACTAGCGGGCTACCCTGGGTGGCTTCCTTCACTCACCTGAGTCTCACTGCGCTCATCACTACAGCAGGAATAAAAGCAGTGGCTTCCTCATGTGGTGCTTACAAGGCTGGAGAGGGCCCCATGAAAATGGTGCCGGCCACAGTGCACGGCACATACTCAGGATGAGCAGTGCCAGCCACCCAGGAGAGCACAGCTGGCCGTGAACACCGCAGTGGATGCTGTCTGGCTGCTGCCACTCAGTACTGCAGCCCCAGGCTGGGCACTCAGCGAGCAAGCTGTCACTTTGGGTGCTGTGGACACACGGAGGCCCCTCCGCCTCTCTCCACCTCCCCATCCCTCATCTCTGGTCTGTGTGCCCTGCAGGTGATGGAGGCAATGACGTCAGCATGATCCAGGAGGCGGACTGTGGCGTGGGAGTGGAAGGCAAGGTGAGCTCGCTCCGTATGCCATTTCCTTTCCCCTCAAGGGCACACAGATGCTTAGGGAGTGGGGAGAGACCAGACCACAAGACCCATAGCGCTCCAGCTTGCAGATCCATGCCAACTTCCCTCACCAGTACCCACATTTAGAATAGAAAAAGTGTTTTTCTGTATTTTTAGGGTATAGTGACTATGCTGCCAGCCTTTCCATGGTAGTCAGCCTGGTTAGTTATCAGGCCATGTGCCCTTCTCTTGGGTATTAGGGAAGAATGTGGCAAGCTTTACCCTTTACTAAAAGGCCATAACCCACCCACACTGCCTGCCTGCCTGCTATCATCTGTCTCTCTGTCTCTCTATCTCTATCTATCTATCTGTCTTATCTAGTTGCAGTGCTAAGGATTGAATCCAGGGAGATCTGAACTATATCCCCAGCCCTTTCTAAAATTTTATTTTGAGACAGGGTCTTACCAAGTTGCCTAGGCTGGCCTAGAACTTGCTGTCCTCCTGCCTCAGCCTCCCAAGTAGCGAGGATTACAGGCATGTGCCACTGTACCCAGCTGGTGGCTATGATTTTGAGAAGTTCGTGTGTTATAATTTTTCTGTCTTTCCCTTCTTGTCATCTGTGGGCTTGTCTTCTTACGATTTACTCCACCCTGTCTCATTTGTGATCTCAGCAGGAGTAGAGGCAAGAAGATTAGTTTCCAAGTGTGTTAGAACTCTGTGTAGAGTATAAAGGTCAAGCAGGAAGCAGAAATAAGCTCCCCTACACATTCTGTTGTATATCTTCAGGAGTTAGGTTAATTCACGAGCCTTTTTCTCTTTCCCATGCTTTCTGCTTCTCTGGTTCTCAGCCAGATGATAGTGTGTGTGTGTGTGTGTGTGTGTGTGTGTGTGTATGTGTAGTTACGGAGGTAAATGGTTCTTCCATGAGATATTATGTCTAATTCCTTAAATATTGTGTAGATTCCTTAAATGTAGGTTTTAAGTATGACCAAGTTTGATAGAATTGTTTACAATTTCCCATACAGAACTAAAATATTTGAATTACAATTCTCATTCTTTTGTTTTTGAGAGTATAAAAGTAATAAGTACTCAAAACAAAAATCAAAATAATTTAAAAATAAAGTACAGCAGCATCAAGCTGGTAGTATTAGGTATTCTTCCAAATTTTTTTCTATGTGTGTATGATTGGTAGTGTGTGTGTATGTTTTTGTTGTGTATAATATATGTGTATTTTACACATGTGTATATATTACGTTCATATATAATTTAAAAAACATTGTATGCATGTTGTTATGCAGTCTACTTAAATCTGTTACATCTTAAGATTTTTTCTCCATCTGAGAGTGTATGGCCATCATTTCTCATCCCCTTTTTCTTTTTAAAAATTTGTTTAGAAAATTTGAAGGAGAGCAATGACCATCTCGCTCCCCTTTACTTTGATTTATGTTAGCATTTGCCACATGTTCCCTCTGTCTCTGAATCAGCTGCAGGTGAACTGCACACATGATAGTGTGTTACCCTACACACTGTAACCTGGATCTCTTTAAGAACGAGGGATTCTCCTACATCAACCAGGTAGCAGAGCCCCCCCCACCATGTAACTGATATAGTGGCACTGCTGTAGAGAGTATTCATAGTCACATCTCCCCAGTTGTCCTCAAAATGCCTTTGCAGCTTAAAAAAGCCCCAGAAACTAATCAAGGACCACAAATTACATTTATTAACATGGTTTTGTGTCTCGTTAATCTTCTTTAATGTGAAACACTTCTCTGTCTTTGGGGTGCTTTTTCCCGGGGTTGGGGTGCTTTCAGGACCTGGGTATTTTGGAAGTGCCCAGGACAGTGCTAGGATGTCCCTGGCACCTGGTGGTGGCCCAGTTGATTTGATGTGGACTCTGGTGTATCACAGAGGGAATCTTGTGTTGTTCCCATTGTCACGTCAGGAGGCTTCCGGGTCCCCCGAGCCCTTATCAATGTCAATCGATACCTTTGCAGATGAGCAGATTCCACCAATGGCGGCACTGTCAGTTGTTCCCACTTCTGTAAACATGTAGAGCTGTATGTCAGGAATATTCCACTTAGTGTTGTCAGGAGCATCATGCTTTTCCCCTCTTTAACATTTACCTCTGCAGGGACCTGGATGTTATAAGACATGTAATTCTGATATCATGGAATGATGGTTTGCTTCTGACACACATCAGAGGGGGCTGAACCCTGAAGGCGTAATGCTAAATTCATTTGACCTCTAAATTATAAGTATCTGCTACTTAGTATGTTTTTATTTAAATAAATTCCTCTTTTTAAATCAAATTTAGGGCTGGACCACCAACTGTGTATGGCTCGAAACCAAAGAATCTCTTTATTGAGTTTCTTCAAAGATCTCCTTACCATGTCTTGTTTTTCCAATTAAAAAAATGTGTTTGAACTGACCTCTTGTGCTTCTGACGGTGCCCAATTGTGTTGGATTTTAGGAAGGAAAACAAGCTTCGCTGGCCGCAGACTTCTCTGTCACTCAGTTTAAGCATCTCGGCCGGTTGCTCATGGTGCATGGCCGGAACAGTTACAAGCGCTCAGCTGCTCTCAGCCAGTTTGTGATCCACAGGAGCCTCTGCATCAGCACCATGCAGGTGGGTGGGCAGCTGGCGCCTCTGCACAGGTGCGTGTGACTATGTGGTCCGTGCGAACAAGCCTTTTCTCCACTCACAGCTCACAGCGCAGCCCAGGAGGGAGGAGAGGTTGGTTATGAGGGTCAGCGTTTCGCTCCCCTGTCGCTCTTCACAAAGGATTCTAGAGTATGTACTCACTTTCTCCCTCACCAGCTGCTTCGGAATCTGTCATCAGGTAGCCGAGAGTGTCGTAGCAAAGAGGCCAAAGGGAAGGAAAGAAAACATTTTGGGTGTTGAACAGCTGTTGGCTCTGTTCCTACTTGGGCCTCGAGGTACAAATACTCCCAGGTTAATGATGAGAGCCCAGAAGCGAGGGATCCTGGAGCCCGCATCTCTGTTCACCGCTGAGCACCTGTGAGACTGTGAGCAAGACCCCATCACTGCAGGCCTCAGTCTCTCAGCCTCTAAAGTGGGGGCGGTGGGGTTTACCTGGCCCTCGGACCTGGCCACTTTGAAAAGGAATTTTCCGAGGCATCAGCATTGGTAGCATCCTCATTGTTATGAATAAAATGAAACCAGGTGAGATGTAAATATAAGGTAAGGTTTTAATTTGTGGGAAGGTATTTGATCACACATGAAAGCAGTCTGCTTTACAGAATAAGCTGGACTCTACATGAGAATTCACCCTCCGCTGGCCCCATCCAGGCCTGTTTGGGTGATTTTATGTTTTAAGTATCGATTGCATTCGTGAACAGAGCCTTAAAATGATTTTCATCAAAAAAAATCTAAAGCTCAGCAGCTGGTGTGGTTCATCACACCACATCTGTACTTTTAATTTATGTTAATTCGTCAGTTGAGCTGGTTATTGACTGCTGTGGTTTCAGTCCCTGGGAGATGAATGAGCTTGTTCCCGGGCACAAACCCAAAAGCCGGCCTGGACGAGGTGACTGCTGTAATGCCCGGATGTGACCATTAGTTTTGATTCAGAAAGAAAATTCCAGAATGAGGCAGGGTTCCTTGTGCTAAGAGCCTGCCTCCCTGCCCACTGTGCTGAGTGTCTCAGGATTGCACCCACACCTGGGTCTGGCACGCACGGACACTGCATATTTATTTCCCCAGTGTCCCTTGTCCAGGCAGAGGCTTTGTGGCAGTGTGGCCCACTGAGGGCCAGGGGCTCCTGAGGTCCCTTGCAGAGTTTCTTTTTTTTTTTTTTGGTACTGGGAATCGAACTCAGGACCTTGCACTTGCCAGGCAGGCACGGCGCCACTGAGCTTAACCCTCGGCCTGGGCACCAGTTTGTTGAGGTTTTTACAAACTGTCCTCCAGGGGAGGAATCACCGGAAAGGCTCTGTCTAGGTGCTGAAATTCTGGAAATGAGACCCGGGACCCTGGGGCTTCCCGTGCCCCTGGCACTTGGTGGCACTGTGCCTGGTGATCACGGCTCTCCACGCGCCCTTGTGCTCCATCTGTGGCCGGTGCTCGGGGAAGCTCCAGTAGACACTGTCTGATTGCCAGCTGGCTCACCCTCCCTCTTGGAGTTTACTGTTCTCGAAGCCTCTTTCGTTTGATTTTGTCCTGATGGAAATGAGCATGAACACCGCTGTCCTGTGAGCCCATAGATGTCCCGAGAAAGGGCCACGGGGAGCATCAAGCCAGGATCGTCTTTGCACGTGGCCATCACTGCTGGTAGCTGGTGTCTTCCAGATCAGGAAGCAGACGTTTCTATGAGAGAAGATTTGTGAATACCGTCATTGCTTTTGTCTAATTGTAAAAGTAGCCTGTCGTGTGCTCTTTTAAAAATCGCTCCAGTTACTCAAACGCGCAGTCTTAAGAAGAGCAGCCCTGTCTGCCGCATCAGGCACTGGGAGCTGGGGTAGAAATGCCATGGCCCTTCTCGTGCCTGCTTCCGTGCACTTGGCGTGTGCTGTATGCTGTGCAGGCAGCAGTAGCTGGGAGCCATCGGGAGCATGAGCCCTGGAGCCCGGGCTGGGCTGGAGTCCCACAGGGCTGGCCTCCCTCCATGTCCCCCCTGCAGTGTGGGCAGCTTTCTGGCTCGCGCTGTGTGGTTTCGGGCAGGCCAGATGCCCTCTGTGTCTCACCTTCCCCACCTGTATGACGAGGATGACGTGACGGCCCCCATGTTAGGGTGGCCCCAGGAACTCTGAGCTCCTGCTTCCGTCAGGACACTCGGTGACATCCTCCTTTCTCCTCCGGACAGGCTGTCTTCTCCTCCGTGTTCTACTTCGCCTCTGTTCCTCTCTACCAGGGATTCCTCATCATTGGGTAAGGAAATCCTGCAAGGCGTGAATGTTCTAGAGACTCTCTAACGTGCCACAGAGGGAAAAGAAACACTCGAGACTCTTCAGTCCCCTGGTCACCGTGGACCTGTGGTTCTGAACTCCTTGACCCCACCAGGCTCTGAACCTTAGTTAAGCCCCTCACTGGGTTGGAGAGGTGGAGCCTGGTGTGTTCCCCAAGGTGCTGGGATCCAGATGGAAGGGTCTCAGACTTGGCAATGCCACCGGGGACCTGGAAGGGTCCACAGTGCCCTCCCGGCTGTTGCTGAGTCCATTAGAAAGTCAGAGGCCCAGCGGGGCAGAGCTGTGCTTCGGAAGATGTGCATCCACAGTGCCACAGCAACCGAAAGGTGTCACTTGGACCTCAGACCACCCCCGGGCCTGGCCTGCAATGTCGCAGCTTGCCTTTTGACCTTTTCCTAGTGGTTGCTCAGCCTGCGGCTTCCCCAGGCAGGTGGAGTCTGGTTACCCGGTGCTCTAGATACACGCAGGCTGCCACTGCTTCTTCAGAATTGGAAATGCAGCCTGGCCCCTCTCAGGGTAGTCACAGAGCCCTCTTCCCATCCTCTCATGTCTTGCTATCAGTTCACCCTGAGTATGCACTGGACTCTACTGGCTTCTAATTGGAAACATGCAGTGCCTCTGTCAGATCCTGGCGGAGTAAAAGAACAAGCCAGAACCTAGTCAGGGGTTCCTGCGTTGTGCTCCGTGTGGCCTTTTATCATCCAGTCTGTCTCCTTCACCCTCTCAGTCCCAGCCATACTGGTCTTGCTGAAAGCCACGCCCCTGCCTCAGGACCTTTGCACTGGCTCTTCCTGTGTACTGGCATGGCTGCTCCTCCTTGGGTGTCTACTCAAATGTTCTACTTCTTGGCTGCCTTCTTAGTTTGCACCTTTTACCCCATGTACATGTGCATGTGCATGCACACACATGTACATCTTATTCCTTCTTCCCTATCTCATTTTCCCCCTGCCATTTTCCCGCAGAAAGTGACCCATAGGTTACTTGATCACTTGTTCAGTCACTCAGGAACCAGCATACCGGGCTGTCAGGGCTGAGCTCTCAGTCTGTTTCACGTCTGAGTCTCCACAGGGGAAAGCAGGGCCAGGCACATCCGTGACAGGCACTTGGTGCACAGCTGTGGGAGGAACCAGGCGAGGGTGGCAGACAGGTCTGCCCGGGACCAGAACTGTCCCGTTTTCTCCTCAGGTACTCCACAGTTTACACCATGTTCCCCGTGTTCTCGCTGGTCCTGGACAAGGACGTCAAGTCGGAAGTGGCCATGCTGTACCCGGAGCTCTACAAAGACCTGCTCAAGGTGCACAGATTCCCCGCCCTGGCGGCTGCCTTCTTCCCTGTCCCTCCCTCTTCCTCCCTCCCCTCCACTCTTCCCCTTCCCTGCTTCCTCCGAATAGGGTGCATGCCCCCCTTCCCGTTTCTTTACACGGACCCCCGTGTCTCACTGGCTACACTCCAGGGGGCTGCTCCTGCTTTGGGGCAAAGCGTGGGAGTTTATTTTTTTCTTAAAGCAGTGTAGGTTCCAGGGTAGAGAACAAGAAACAGCACAGTCGTGTGCAGACTGAAAACAAGGACAGCTTTTCCAAGGCCCCTGATGGTTCCACTTGCAGCTGCAACTGACGCCTGCTCCCAGTGGTGTCCTCACGGCCCTTCCTGAAAGTGTTCGCGCTAAGTGCGTGTGTGGGCGTGTGTGATTCCCTTCGAGTTCTGGGGTTTCCACTGACAGGCAGGTTTATTCCCACCCACCGACAGCCCCTTCCTGGCGTGTGTCTGGATGTCAGCCCGTTTGGATGAGGACGGAGGTGGCCATGTGTGGACAGGGGCGCAGGTGGGATGCCGATGGCACCGAGCCATGGTCACCCCTGGCAACCTGCTGTTTAATCTTTCTGTCTCTCCTTTAGGGACGACCGTTGTCCTACAAGACGTTCTTAATCTGGGTTTTGATTAGCATCTATCAAGGTAAGGACAGGAAACCACCTGTTGCCCCAGGCCCTGACTGTGACCAGGGGAGTCTCCCTCCAGCCTGTGGAGCCTGAGGAGGACGCTGGGGCTGAGGATAGTGGCAGGGAGGGTGACAGTGGGACAGGCGGCGCTCAGCCGGTCGGTCGGAGTGGGCACAGGGAGGTCAGACTCGTGCAGCGCTGTCTGCCTGAGAGGGTGGTGAAGTCAGGGAGAAGTCTTAACTTGTGCAGGCCAAGCATCCCTGACCCAAATGCTCCTGAATCCGAAACCTTTGGAGCCCTGGTTGGTACCACAAGTAGAAAATCCCACCCTGGACCCCGGGACAAAACACAGGCACACGAAAATACTGTATGACATTGCCATCAGGCAGGTGTGTGTGGTGTAAATGAAACATGAATTTCATATTTAGACTTGGGTCCCTTCCCTGAGATACCTTGTTGTGTATATGCAGATATTTCAAACATCTGAAAAAGTCCGAAATCTAAAACATTCTGTCCCAAGCATTTTGAGCAGGGATACTCAGTTTGTACTAATTGAAAATAGCCAGGGTGTTGGATCCATGTAGCAAAAAGCAGTTGCTTTCCCAGATGTTCAGTGCCTTTGCTAAGAGTAAGATCAAGTCAGGGCTTTTGAAGAAAGTATGTTCAGTGGCTGCCGGACAGGGTCCTGCAGACTGCAGTGGCTTCGTAACATGACGTCTTGGAGTCTAAAGAGGAAATATCAGCACTCCTATTGTATTTAGTTATTCCTCATTCCTTTTAGAATTTCTATTATGTGTGTTTTATAATGCACATAATGTATTTATATAGTGCTTCTGCTATTTTTAGATACCCAGACAGGTACACATACAATTTATAAACGAACATGTATATTTGGGTTCCCTTAATTTTTTTTTTTAACTAAGGAGTGGTACAATAACAAAAAAACTTCAGAGACCACTGAGTTTGTTGGCAGAGGGTTAAATTGTCATTGAAAGCTTGTGTACGTGTGTGTGTGTTTTAAAGAAGTAAAACGTAAGGTGTGCATCTGGTTAGAAAATGCATATCCTGCCTGGAGATTTACAATAATCGGTGGTCTGCCGCTGTGTCCCTCACTCCAGAGGCCGGCATCCTGGGTCCCTGCTGCCCCTCGGAGTGACGTCCTCGTGCTGCTAGTATTTCTGAGTCAAATGGGACACAATCAGTTCAGTCAGTGGGTGCTGGGGAGCCTGCTGCCCTCCCTTCCTGTATGCCCTTCTCCTCCTCAGCAGATGTGTGGGTTCTCCCTGTTTCTTCCCGAGAGCCTCAGTGGTTTGTGTGCTCGTGTGTGGTAAAACAACACCCAGCATCGCATTTATGCCTTGGCCATCTCTAGTGACCAGTCCAGGGTGGGGAGTGCACCCCCCCACTGCACACCAGGTCCCAGCACATTTCCATCCTGGAAACCGGAAACTGTCCCCAGCGAACAGCACCCGCATCCCCTCCTCCATCCCTGGTCCCCACCATTCTGCTTCCTGTCTCTCTGACCTGGGCTGCCTCAGGTACCTCCTGGAAGTGGACTTGTACAATTTCTGACCTTTTGTGGCTGCTACTGCCATCATTTTAAGTGAAATATTTAAATTCCCATATCTTCTCTCCACTCCGGTGAGTTATACTTTCCTTTTTCTTCCTCTGTAGTTACATGTTATTTAGTCAGGAAGGTCAAGGAGGAAAACAGCAAACCTGTGGGTCTGACCCCCCGTAAGGCATCACCTGTCAGCATCATGTAACAAGGAGCTCACACCTTCCATGTCGCAGTGCATGGCCGAGGCGTGGCATGTGGGCCCAGGGTCCGCTCTCAGGATGTATGTGGCCCTGGCTTCCCCTGGGGCCTCCCGGAAACACTCTTCTGGTTGGTGTTTCCAGGGAGCACCATCATGTATGGGGCACTGCTGCTGTTTGAGTCGGAGTTCGTGCACATCGTGGCCATCTCCTTCACGTCGCTGATCCTCACCGAGCTGCTCATGGTGGCACTGACCATCCAGACCTGGCACTGGCTCATGACGGTGGCCGAGCTGCTCAGCCTGGCCTGCTACATCGCCTCCCTGGTGTTCCTACATGAGTTCATTGGTAAGACCCGCATGAGCGAGCCCTTCTGTGGGCCCTGAGCTGCCCTGGCACCAAGGCCTGGGGACTTTGTCTCAAGCCCTTCCCCTTGCCGCCCTCCCCTTCTTTGGGTGTCCCCTTGGAGCCAGTGCCAGTTGGGAAGTAGCACGCGGAATGTGATCTCAGATCGGTGCCTGCTTGCTGGCAGTACTGGGGGTTGAACCCAGGGCCTTTGCCTGAGCTACATCTCCAACCCCCCTTTTAAAATATTTGTTTTGAGACAGGCTCTCACTGAGTCACCCACTTGCTCAAGATGGGCTCAGCTTTATGATTTTCCTGCCTCAGCCTCCCAGAGTGCTGGAATTATCAGCATGTGTCACCATACCCACAGTTACTTATTTAGGAGTACTGGGGCTGGAAGCCAGAGCCTCCCACGTGCTGGGCCAGTCTTCTGCCACTGAGCTACACCCCAGCTCGAGAGTGTTTTAAAAATCCTGTAGAGACAGGTGGTATCGAAGGAGAATTATTGAATTGAGCAAGCACAGTCAACCCCCGGGTCTTCAGGCTCCACATCTCCAAATTCAACCAACTGGAGACTAAAATATTTGAAAAAACATACTTCCCTCACCCTGTAGGGATGAGAGATGTGATCCAGGCTGCAGAGAGGTGGGAGCAGGGTGAGGTGAGGCCGATGCCCCTGACCCCAAACGGAAACATCTGGGAAAGTGCAGCTGGGAGAGCGACCCCAGGAGGAGGGTTCTCTACCCACGGTGCTGGTTCTGGGCTTCTGGGCCGTCACCCCCACCTCCAGGGGACAGGCTCAGGTGTCCACCTTGGTGCCAGCCTCCCACTCGCCTTAAGATGTTGCCAGATGTGCAGCCAGTCCTGACCCATCCGTTATGAGCACGGTCCCTGCAGGGCCACCAGGATGTCCCCTCCATGCTGGACTACTGTCTGCTGACCCCAGGTGCTGAGATGGGCTCGTTCCCGTCCAGAGCCTGTGTGCAGCTCTGTGTCACGCACCCAACACGGGCAGAGCCAGCGGCCCGGCCTCTCCTCCGTGTCCCGGCCTCTCCTCCGTGTGTCTCACGGACTGAGTCTGGGTCTCCCCAGCCAGGATCAGCTCACACCTTCCAGGCTGAGCACATCATCTTGGGAGGCCAGCAGGGAGGCAGCAGATGGCCTTCTTTGTTTTCACTTTTTCACACAAGCAGTCAAGTTTCTATCTGTGGTATTTAAATAAAGCAAAACTCCCTCGGGGTGATTTTCTCCTTTATCAGCAGAGAGCTGAGCCCGGGGCTACTTCCCTGCTGGGAAGGCCTGGCAAGGTGGGGTAGCAAGGTCTCCGGACCCCAGGAATTCTCCACCAGGTGCTGTGGCCCCACCTCACCTGGCCAGTGTGTAAGGTACAGTGTCACAGATACCCAGGAACCCGTGGCGTCCACAAATTTCATGGAGAAGGCAAACTTGGGGGAAACAGTCTATAAAGGCTCTGTGAGAGCAGTAATAAGAAAGACAGAAAGAAACTCTGCAGTTCTGTGGGAGCATCTTTGATCAGGGCTCTTTCTCTGCTTTCCAAAGCTCCTTAGGAATGTTTATTAATAAAGACAAAAGGTGCATGGCCAGAAAGTGCAAGGCTAGAAGTGGCATGCTGTCCAGCCTCCCGGAAGAGGTTCTGTGAGCACCCACGGTGCACAGGGGCTTGAGCCCTCAGGGAGTTGAGTGGCCTTCGGAGCAGCCACAGTGCTGGGTGAGCTGAGCACTTAGTAAGTGTACTTAATAGGTGCTTCATCAGTGCCGGCTAGGTTTCCAGCCCTGAGCTCAGGAGGTGGGGAAGGATTTCCTCTGGCACAGCAGTGTTGAAAAGCGCAGCTGTCTCCTCTCGGAAACCTTAGCACTTTAGCCCCAAGGGGTGCGCCCTGACCTCAGTCAGAGTCCCAAGGAGAAGCCTGGTTTGTGCACGGGGCTCTGCCCACTTCACCCTGTGCCACACGTCTGTATGGTTGCCATTTGTTTCGGTCACTGAGATGGAAGAAGGTTGCTGGGAAGCAGAACCCTATGTCTGAATGTCACTTTTTGCTCACCAGTGGCTAGATTTATTTTAATTTATTTTTTGGTACCGGGGATCGAACTTGGGATCTTGAGCTTGCGAGCCAGGTGGTGGAACCACTGAGCTAAATCCCCGGTCCACCAGTGGCTAGATTTAGAAAGAAACTGCAAACTGTAAGAGTCCAAATCAGAAACACCTGTAGTTTTATTTTCCTACTACAGTTGTTGAAAAATCTTGTCGTACCGAGCAAGAAGCTACTGCATCAGGTCAGACAGAGATGAGGGAAAGTGAGGAGAATCGAGCTGACAGGCTGTGTGTGCTGCTGGCCCACTTGTCCCCTTCAAGAGCGAGTGGGGGATGTGAACCAATAGCAGGGGCCGTGAGCTTTGAGGGAAGCAGCTTCCCCTTGGGTGGCCACCGTGACTGCTTCTTGGTGGAGTTACGCCTTCCGGAACATTGCACGCGCTCACTGCTGTCTTCTGGCTTGCAGATGTGTACTTCATCGCCACCCTGTCGTTCCTCTGGAAAGTCTCTGTCATCACTCTGGTCAGCTGTCTCCCCCTCTACGTCCTCAAGTACCTGCGAAGACGATTCTCCCCCCCTAGCTACTCGAAGCTCACATCGTAGGCTGTGTGCCGGGCCAGGGGACCCTGGCTCTTCACTCCCTCAGTGGGCAGAGTTCAAGTTCCATTTGTGTGAACTGCCACCTGTGGATTTCGCAGCAGTCGCTAACACGTGCCGTTTTGATGCGGCGAGGCTGTGCCCCCGGGGGAGTCCTCCCAGGCAGGACACGGGGGGCGGTTCTGAGAGGGGCCGCATGCACCCGTGGGACCCCCAGTTGTCACGTGGGAGTGACAGTGACGTCAAAACGGGTGGCTCGCCGGACCGCTGTGTGGGTCACTGCGCAAGCTTCCTTATGACTTGAATTTTGTTGTCACGTGATAAAACTTTCCGTCTAGTTGAAGGTTATAGAAGGCCTTTTTTTTTTTTTTAAAAAAAAAATCAGTTCTTTCGTGTGTTCTCTTTAAGACTCTCACTCTTACAAAGTGGTTTCAGCAGAACATACAGTTCTCAGTGTAGGTTTGGGGGCCAACCCAGTGACATGTGATCAAAGTCATCCAAACAATGATTCCATCCGGAAATGCCCAGCTTCCTCTCTAAGCCCTACTTGGGGAAGGGACCCTGGATTCCTGGGGCCACGAAGCTTGGCCCTGAGGAGAGCGAGGGTGGGAGTGGGCCTGAGCCCCTGGGCGAGGTGGTTTCACCTGCCTCCTCGGAAAGGAATTCCAGAGGTGGCACTGCCGCTTTGTGGGGAGCTGGTGACAATCACAAAGCAGGGGCTGTCTGAGGACACCCTCTGGCACTTTCAGCGGGTTGTTTTAGCAGGAAACGTCACCGAGCAGGCCCTACGTGTGTCAACGGTGTGATAACAGATCCAGCTAATTCTTCAGACAACCTGGCAGATGTGACTCAGACCCTCCAAGGCTGGAGCAGAAAGGTCAGGGCACCAGGGCTCTGCTCTTCCCCGGCAGCCTGTTTCCTGTTAGGAGGAGTTTCTGAGGATAAGCTGACAAAGGCAGCGACATCTTGCCATTCCTCAGTGGCAGCCTTCAAAGCCACGAGCCTCTGGGGAGGAGGCCCAGCTGCAGCTTGGGGACCTGGGATCAGCTCGCCTGGCTGCAGATTTCCAGGGCACGTGCTGAAAGGCAGCCGGGGAAAGGCTTCTTTTCTCCTGCCAGCAATGGCTGCGTGCACGTGTGTTTCTTATAAAGCGTGGCTGCCACTTTCAGAGGGAGAAGGGAGTTTGCAGGCGTTGGACGTGGCAGGGCATTCTTGGGGTCGCAAGTCACTTCTTGTGGGAGGCACATATGCGTGCCATAAGGGTTAAGTCGATGGATCCTCCAGACTCGACAGTGGCGCTGTCCTGGGTTTGTGATTCGTTCTGTGTGAGCTCACACCCTTCAGACCTGCAGTGTGGCTACCTGTGTGTGCCACGGCCTGGCTGCCACCCGCTACCCACCTACCCTAGGGAAACCTGCTCTCAGAGACTTGGGACACGAAGACCACACAGCCTTGACTTTGGAATGCTGATCCACTCTTGCATTTTGTGTAGCCCTGTGAAAGCTTCCTAGAATGACAGTAAGTTGCAAGGACTATTAAATTGGCTGCAGACAGCACTTCTCTCTTTGTTTTAAGAGTCCGTAGTTTCGCAGCATTTCTCCCTTTCCCATCTAGCTGTTTCTACCCAGGAGAAAAGCTCCACAGCAAGGATGCAGTGCATTGCACGAGTGGTTGTTTAGGAATAGGATCTTGGCCCAGATGGTTCAAGAAGGTGGAGCAGATCTGACTTCTTCATTGAACAATTTTATGTGGCTTTAAACACAGAGGAGAAAGTTTTGTCTAGTGCTTTTGAGCCTCTCGAGTTCACAAACCCGAGCTGGCCTTGTTCGGGAGACAGGCCAGGACTCCAGCAGTCCGCTCAGTGGGAACCTTGCTAGGTGGCCGTAGGTGTTTCCAGCAGAGTAGGGAACCAAGCTGGTCTCTCCGGTCTTTTCCTTAACCGTGATTTCCATTGGGTTGGCACCCAGAATCCCACTTGACACCTCCAAGGGAGGAAGCTTCCTAGGAAGGCTCAGAGGCCACGGCGGAAGTACGGGTGCCTGACAGTGTCCTCCCGGGCCCCTGTGTTCAGTTCTCTTTCTCCTCCAAGGGCCCCCATACTTGGGTGGTGGCAGTGATGGGTAGAAGGACGGAAACCCACGTGGATGTGAGCCACGCTGTGGGACCAGCCTGCCGACACTGCCCCCTGGTCCCTGAGTGTTGGGACGCAGGAGACACAGGAGCACGCAGGAGAACTGTGATCCAAGGAGAGAACCCGGGTGCGCTCAGCCCTTCTCGGTCCTCTTAGTCATGGGAGGACAAGGAGAGCGAGGAGCCCCAGCTGGTGTGCAAGACACTCTCCGGGGCTTGTACACTTGAACACGCAGATTCAGTTGCCCTTTCTTTTCCTTGGTTCGCCAGTCTGGAAAAACTTCTGTAAAAAGCACCACTGGGGGAACCCAGGGGGACCCCATCTCCAACAGCCATTTAATGGGAGGTCGGGGCACAGTGACCGCTGCCTGGACACTGTCCTTGAAGGAGAAATCACAGCACCTGCGCCCTTTGACCACACTGAGTACTTCCTTCCCAGCAAGAGCGTCTGTTATTTAATTATTATGAAACCTTTTGATGATGGTTATGGGTGAGCGTCTCTTTTTCCCCCCTTCCTCCCTTCTGGTTCAGAATTTCTCCACACTTGATCTTAGCCGAAAGGCCGAGAAGTGATTGGATCAGGATTTCTCTAAGAAACTGACCTTCAAGCCTCTCCATCTATTGGACAGTTTTGAGCCTGACCTTGAGAGCTCGAGTGTGCACGTGTGTTGTTGTACGAGGCGGGAGGGGACAGTCGCTCAAGCTGCTTGCAGGGCATCCTGGGGGCTTCTTAAAATCCCAGCGAACTCCTATTTTCAGCCAGCAGGTGGTGGCGGGCCCAGGGCTGGGGTCGCTCCCACACTTAACCTTATCACATCCGCTTGTCCCAGTCTCCCCTGAGTGAAGCCCTTTTTGAAGCAGTAACCTTAAATACCACCGTTCCCTTCCCAGCATTTTCTGTTCGTTCTCTGCTGAAAATCTGGGTTGTGCTGACGATATTTTTAAATGTATTTTGAATTTTGTGCTCCTTGGACATTGATACTCTAACGCCTATGTTTTTCTCCAGACTTTTGTTTTTATACTTTGTCTTGTTTTTACTGGGGTGGGGCTGGGCATGCACAAAAAATGCCTTTATGGGCAGCATTTTAAACTTTTGCCAAAACTTCAAATGGGATCTTAATGCTCCATCCTGTTTAAAGCAAATGCTTATCAGACGTTTTTGTCTTTAACCTTTGTGTGTGTGTGTGTTTGTGTGTGTGTGTGTGTGTGAAGTGTGTATGTGTGTTTAGGATCTCATCTCAAGTTTTTGGAAGAAATATTTGGTTTCTCAATGCATTAGAATTCCATTCCTCCCAGCTCTGTTTGTATTTTAAAAATATACAAAGAGCTTTATAAGTACATTTTATTTCTCCCCCTTTCCTTTAATATAAGGAAGCTTTTTGGCTTTCTATACTTGAAATATTTTCATTATGTCCATTCTTCTTGGAAAAAAAAAAAGATTGCTTGCTTTGGGTTGGAACTGAAAAGCAACCACTGTGGGGCGCATCCTCTGACTGCAGCCCAGGCCCTGCGGGGCCATGCAGCACCAGCTGCCCGTCCAGCTCCCCTGTCCCCTCCAGCACAGGACGGTTTGGGCAGTCCGTGCCCGGGGCGGGCCAATGCCAGTGAGCATTGTGTGTGGGGTGAGGTGGGGCTAGCGTTGGGGTACAGAATGGTGGGTCCCCACTCATTCTGTGGCAGCGGGGTCTCCTGTGAGCTCACAGTCCCCTTATTAGATTTGTCTGTGCAACTCTCATGCAGGCGTTTGCCAGGGCAGCATTTTTTGATTAGAGGAAAGCTCGAATGCGGGATGCTTTAATTTAGCAAGAACGACCAGATGATTTAAATTCTCAGCTCTGTGATGACACACATGGGATCTTCCGTGTTTCTGAGCAATTCCACTTTCATTCTTTGCCAGCGTGGCCCGTTGCCCAATAAAGCTTGTGTATTTTCTGCCTGTGGGCATCATTTTAATTTGTACAGGAACATGAATTCTGGTGATGAAATGAGGACTTTTTATTATGATGCTATTATGTGCTTATCTTGTGGTACACAAAATGTAAAGAACTTGTTTCCAGTTTTAAAAAATTATTTTGATTTCAGAAAAAAAGCCCAATGCATGTTATTTAATTCTGTACTGTTGTCCATTCCAAACATGTCAAAAATTCAAAAAGTGATTGATATAAATGGAAAAAAAAGGTGAAAAACATAAGCTTCCTATTGTATTTATACACACAATGCTTGTCGGCTTTGAAATCTTTTATTTTTTTATAATCAAAGGATGAAAGGTCCAGGGATGCATTCACTTCATTTTTAGGCAAAAGAGGTTTTTAAACTGATGTACCAGGAAGCAGGAAACATAATGTTGTTAACCCAGCCACTACAGCCAGGGGCGGTTGTGCCCTCTAGGGCACCTGTAGCAAAGGTGTGAAAACATTTTCCATTGTTACAGCAGTAAAGGGGGCTGCAGTCGGACACCCCACAACACAACGCAGCTCCGGGACTTAACCTGACCCCAGATGTCCAAAGCGCTGAGATTAATCCCTCACTTACCAGGTATAGTATCAGTTTTACCCGCTGTCTGCATTTGCAGAGGGGCCCAGCGCCTGAGCCGCCCATGTCAGGAAACAAATCCAGCTGGCCAAATGGTGTCAGCGCCCTGGCTGCTGATCTCCCTCCATCAAAAGGCCGGTTCCCCTCCGTTTATCGATTAGAAGGAATTCTGAATGCTTTCCTGTTTCCATCGACAGGGGCTGTCCTGGGCAAAGAGGGCGGACGGTGCTCATAAAGGGGGAGGTGCGCAGGATTTCCCCTTCCACGTGTGTGGTCCACGAGGTCCCAGCACCCCGAGTGCGGGTGGGCGCAGGGAGAATCCAGCCCGGGGCTGGGGCGACCCTGGCCGCCAGGGGGCACCCGAGGATCGGAAGACGCGCGGGTTCCTGTTTGCTGCAGCCGCCCCGGGGTGCCCAGCTGCCCGGAGTTTCCAGACGCTGCTTTCGTGGCTTCAGAATTTATTTCACGGCCAGTGCCCCCATTAAAACAGACATTTATTTTTATGTTGTTGACCAGAATATTTTGCTGGACTCGGGGACAGAAAGTTGGGAGAGGAGGAGGAGTATGGGAGCTGAATATTCATTTGCTCTTAGATACTTGCATTTTTGAATAATTGGCAGCTGAGAAGCCTTGCCCAGCTCCCTTTTCAGACTAATAAGGTTTAGAGACGCGATGTTCCAACAACCCAAGTACTTTAACTGTTTTTGTTATGAAACTTTTCAGAGTGACATGAAATCCTGCGGTGTTTGTGAGAAGGTCTATAAATGATGGATTTGCTCACCTCAAAATAGAACTGTAGCCACTCCAAACTTTCCAGAAGTCAGAATACAGTAACAGAATTCATTCAGGACTCGCTAATTTCCGACTTGAAATGGGTTACATAACAGAGTGGCCCGCCTTCACGCCTCTCAAAACTACCCATGAAGCGATGGTGAAATCTATCATTAAAAGCTAGAAATAGCTCTGCTAAACTCTGGGAAAAAGATGAGTTTTTTTTCTGACCTCCTCTCCTTTTTTTTTCACCCAAACATTGCATAATGTTAAAAAAAGTCAAATCTTTCCGTGGGATTTAATTTCATTCTCCATGTGGCTGTGGTCGGAGGGGTAACTTAAGCACTTCGGGGCTGGCGGATTTTTGGAGGATCACGCATTCCCGGATCGGTTTTCATCCAAAGCCTCGGTGGAGAATCCGCCCGATCCTGGGTTCCTCCTTCCCCTCCCTTTCTGTGGGCGACTTCTCTGCACCCTAGCATCTCCTAGAAGAGCTGGGGAAGATCTGCTTGCACCCAAGATGCCCTGACAGAGCCTCCCTGCGAGGACCAGCCTGCGTTTTTGACTTGGACATGGGTCCCCTCTCGGGGTAACCGAGTCACACATACGGTCACCTCCCCACAGCCTAGGCCTGATGACCAGCCGGGTCCTGTTTCTGAGATTCAGCCTGCAGGTTCTGTTTGCTCACAATAGGAACTTGGTGTTCTAAGCCTCTGTTGTCCATTTTCAAGAGGTTTAAGAGAAATCCACTTTTTCCTTTATGGGGTCAGTTAAACCCAGGAATATTTTTCTTAGAGAAGGAATGCAGAGTCTGGGAGCTAGGAAAGAGGAGGCGGGGAGGGACCATGGATGTGCTGACATTTCTTTTGTCCACCAAGCATTTACGGAGCTCCTTTGTCTGCTAGGCGCTGTTTTGTGGGCTAGAGGTGTGGCCGAGAGCAAGAGAGCCTGGTTCCTGCCCTCAGAGTGGTTGCATTTTTCTACGTGTGATGGGAAGACAATAAACAGGTGCAGACTAACAGGTGGAGAAGGCTCCTGTGTAACACATGGCAGGGCCGGGCAGAGAATGATGGTCTGTTCAGATACAGGTGGGAAGACTGATGGGCCACTCGACCAGAGGCCTGCAGGATGAGGCAGGAAGAAGCACTCAGGCAGTGATGTGTGCAAAGGCCCTGGGGTAGGAAGGGCTGGCCATGTTGGAGGGGCGTGTGGCTGAGTTTCAGAGACCAGGGAGGAGCTCGGAGATGAAATCAGGGGTAGGTAGGGCCCGAAGACCTCGGCATTTGGGCCACAGGGTGTAGCAAAACTGGGCAACTGTTATTAAAGTTAGCCCTCTGCACGTGAACTGCGTCCAGGGGGCCCATGTCACGGCTCCCTTCTCCCTGTCCTCAGAGGTCCACCCCGCCTGTCCTCATGTCCACTTCAGAGTCCAGGAGCTCTTGGGTGCAGGCCCTTCCACGGGAACCTGCCCCCTCCTGTGCCCAGATTTTCTGTACGACTTTGCTGGCACAAACCTTGCCGACTCTTAAAGCAGAGAAGAAGCCAGGCTTTGGGTGAAATTTCTTCTTGCTTTTCCAACAAATAACACGAAGTTGTCTCTCTTCAGCCCTAAAGCCTGGGTGCCCTGGGCAGAGGCAACCACTCATTCCGGAGTCCTGGAAAGCAGGTTCTGGAGGAAGAAATGCCAGAGGAGGAGTAAGCAGGTTGTGTTGTCCAGAGCCGAAGCTTTCCAAGATTTGCCCACGAGGGTCAATTTCTAAAGATGAAGCCTTTTGCAGGCAGGAACTTGGGAGTCCAAGCAGCATTTAGATTCCTCCCGCAGAAAGAACGAATAACGAGAACAGGCTGCAGAAAAGAATGCAGTTAGTGTCTTAAAGATGGGCACATACTCATTCTCATTTGTCCTTTTATGTGGAACAGATTTTTAAAAAGGCAATTGGAATAGCTAATGACATCCAGACCCCTGCTGATTCAAGTGGGGCTGGAGGTAGGGGACTTAAATTGGCCCAAACAGCTAATCAGGCCCAAAGAAAGAGGTGAGTTGATTACTCTGGAAATTGCACAGGCATTCTTCAAAGATGTGGCCAATAATTAGAGTTTAAGATGCTACTCTTTATGCACATAACTTAGCATAATTTTATTAGGCAGCTCATCACCACCAGAATTAGAGAAAATCAGGCCAGAGAACCTCCCAGAGCCAGGCTGGCGGATGCAGACGTGGAGACGCCTGATCCTGCCTCTGGCTGGCAGAAGACACGGGAAAGGCATCGCCTTCCTTCTTGGTCCTCATGGGGACAGGAGTGGAACTAAAGGCAGCACTCTGGGGGGTGGTGTCAGGACCCTCTGGGATGGCAGCCGGCCTGGTGTGCATGCCAGTTCCCGCTGCTGGCTGATGGTGTGGGCCTAGTCCTTGCACCACTGAGCTCGCTCACCTGTTACTGGGATGGGGATCCCCACTTGTGGAAATCAGCAGCGAGGTCCACGGCACTGGGGACCCTGCCGATAAAAGCACCTGAAGCCTCGAGTGGAGGGGGCCTGTGGATGGACAGGCCTCCTGTCTCCCAAGCCCGGAAGTCCTTCCTCTAGGGTTGGGATTGCAGTCAGTGATACAGTGGTTGCCTAACATGGCTGAAGCCCTGGGTTTGAGCCTCAGCAAAAAAAAAAACAAAAACTCGATCCAAATGGGTTTATGTTCGTGCTCTCCCCAAACCCTGCAGTCACCATCTGGCCAGTGGTCTTAGATTTCAGAGTGGAGGGAGAGGCAGCGGCTGACCAGTCCTCCATGCCCTCGGTCCGTCTGCAGGCACCCAGCTTTGGAGCTCCTGTGTCCCTGAGGTCCATTCTTTGCTTCATTTGGAAATGGCTGTGTCTCTGCTGGGCAAGCTGAGGGCTCCCCGCCCCACTAGGGTGCAGCCCAGGGGAAGAGCAGAAGGTGCCTCCTGAGCAGTCCATGTGCTCAGGGATTTGGGAAAGAGAATGCAAGGAAGCAATAGAGTTGGCAAATCATGTGAAACATTTTTTTTAATGTTAAAACATTCATTAATAGAACAGAAGGCAGAATTTGCTTAAGTTTAGGAAAATAAATCACAAAGCCGGAGAGGAATGACCGGGAGGGCGGCCGGTACCCACGTCGGTGGGGGGGCGCTTGGCTCCTGGCTCCTGCTCTGCAGGTCCCGAGGGACGGCCTGGGAGGCACTGGCTTCTGGTTTCATCCTCAGCCAGCCCAGCGTCTGGCCCACGGTTAGGGCTCAGTAAGCCTTTGTGATGTTGGAGGGCTTTTTGTTTTTGTTTTAAAATTCTGGTAAAATATCTGTAACATAAAGTTTACCATTTTAATTTTTGTGTGTGTGTATGGAACTGAACCCTGGGCCTTTGCACAAGCATCCTGTCCAGCCCTTTTTACCCTTTAAATTCTGAGATAGTCTCACTAAGTGGCTGAATCACCAGGCTGGGCTCCTTCCGGCACGTGCTTAAAACCAAGGGTGTTTGTGTGAACTCGTCCTCTTCGGAGGGAAACGGTGAACACGCCATGTAATCTAGCCACATGTTTGTTACTCTTCTTCTCCCCCTTTTTTGCATCCCTTATTTCACCCACCTTCCTTTTTATGGCACCATTAGTTTTTCTTCTTCTATTGCCTTTTCATTTTGCAAGGTGTATGTAGTAGGCGAATATTAAATGCACAGTTGACAGATCTCTGTAAGCATTGACTTACGGCCTCAGGACAGCCGCCGAAGTCATACGGGAACTATCGGGTTTACTTTATAGAAGCTGCCCGCAGGACTGCAGTGAGACGCTGCCCGCAGGTGGGTGGGGATGCGGAGAAATCAGAGCCTGCCGTGCCGCTGGTGGGAATGTGAGAGGGTG